TGGACAGCACAAAGTGCTATCCAAGGTTGTACAACATATTCAACGTTGTACAACATATTGGTCTTGTTCCCGCCTTGGAGACTTGAAAGACATCGAAGGCAACGGACACTGAGGGCAGCCTGACCATGCGTCATACATCACGCAAGTATTCTTTACGCACAGATACTGGGAGCGGCCGAGCCGCGGACCTTATCCAGCTCGGCCGGATAAGGTCCGCGGCTCAGCCGGTATTTCATCATAGAGATTTTGGTCCGCGGCTCAGCCGCTGCAATGCTCCACCCCATCATTAAGGCCGCGGCTGAGCCGATAAGCCATATTCGGTCCGCGGCTCGGCCGGTGAAATGATATGGACATGAATTGAGGGCCGCGGCTCAGCCGCTCTCCGGCCACGTCCCCAAATTAAGGCTGCGGACGGGCCGGAAAGGCGTTTTAGGGCCGCGGCTCGTCCGCTCCCAGTGTCTGAGTAGTTTGAGACTTTCGTTTAATTTTAGGTTTGGTTTTGAACACAGCGGGCGCGAGAGGTGCTGAAAAAAACAAAAACTCAATTGAGGATTTGGTTGAACGGTGCCTTTGTACCCTTCCAAATCATTTATACCGAGAATATTGACTACAAAAAAGGAATACAGCCAGTGGGAACCCGCACACGTGTTATTGTACATTTTTTGCGACAATTTTATGCCACTATAGGCTTGGCAAATTTGAACAAACGCCTGTGACTTCTTCCGAAGAGTTGATCTGCAGAAAAGGAAAGCAGATTTGAAATTAACGTTTAGGGAAGCGTTTGATGATAAACAACTCTTTCCGGTTTGTCGGACCAGGTTGGACCCCTCCTTTGTTTATCAAACATGCCTGCAGTTTTTCTTTCTCACGAGTTTCCTTTGCCAACCAAATATAAGGTTTCTTGGTAAAACTTCTCACGATATTTGACGCCAAGCACCTTCAATCCAAAATTTTCTCGTCTCCCTCTCTCTCGAACAAAAATATTGGGACGCCACAAGCTTTTACCTAAGCAGAAAAGAAAGTGGGAGGGAAACTCGGTGCAACAAGGCATGGCAACAGGATGGCTACTGCTGTCGTGCAAAAGGCCCCAAATTCTACTTTATGTCACTAAGGACCTGCGTTTGCTGGGGATAAACATGCTTTAAAGGCATCCTCCACCAAAATGGGGTCGATGAGATTTTGAAGCCTAACAGTAGCGGGGCCCCATCTGTAAACTTGCCCAACTCGCGCTGCCAAAAGTTGCTTCCGAAGCGAGAAAATTGCTTCAAAAATCCTTCGGGTACTTAATCGCCACGTTGGCTCCTCCCCTTTAGGTGGGCGTGACGTTCGCTCCGCATCCAATTAATCACCGTTCTGGAGGGCTAGCCCTGCGGGCTCTCGGAACGGGGATTCTCGCGTTTTTTGCGGATTCTCGACTTGATATTTGGAATCGGGACGTGAGAAGGCCCTGGAACGACAAAATTATGGATGTCGAGAATTTGGGTGGGGGGTGACTTTAACAGCTGCCGCCCTCCCCACAAGCCTTCTCTCCTACCTGCTGTATTGGATGCTCCTTTATCGTTGAGTGCCTTCTCTGCTATCTGCTGTGTTGTGTATGCTCCTTTGCCGCCTCGCGGCCTGGGTTCCCGAGGTGTTCAAGGACGAGCTAGGACCCGTTGAAGGTCAAAGCTCGTACTGAAGAGGGATGCCACGCCCGTCTACGTGCCAAAGCGGAAGGATATCATTTGCGGCCGAACCTCGTTTCGAGAGTTGGACCGTCTCGTCCCACTGAGTACTCTCACCAGTCGACTACCCGCAGAGGACTGCACCCATCTTTCCATTCAGAAGAAGATTGGAGCCGTGCGCATCTGTGCTACTCCACCAAGCTGAACGATGCACCGGTGCTGAATTGACACCCACTGCCAACAGCTGAATACGTCGTTACCAGGCTGAATGGAGAAACCGCCTTCACCCATATCGACCTGCTTGAGGCATATTTTGCACGTAATGGATGACGAGAGCAAGGAATTGCTCACGCCATGACGTTGCGAGGACTCCTCCGCTATAACGTTCACCCCTCAGTGTAAAGAGCTAGGACCTTCCACACGCTAATGAGCAACGTCACCGCCCAATTCGTGGAGTTGTTGCACAATTGGAGACATTGTGGTCACTGGAAGAACTCGGGAGGAGCACAACGCGCACCTCCCAGCTATTCCAACGCCTTCAGGAATATAAGATGCGTGTTCCGTAGAGAGTGCTATTTGCTAAGCCTAGTAAGCCTAGTAAAGTGGAGAGTGGAGAGCTGGTGCAAACGACATTGGATTTGATAAGCCCTGTACGCTATCGGCAGCGCGGCGACATGGAGAGACAACCAAGTGACAGCCAGTGGATGAGGCATGAATGAGGCCGCCCTCTGCGCAAATTTGCGGAACTGTTGTCGGACAACTTTGCCGGTGGGAACAATGCTAGGATCATTGAAAGCAACCGCCATACGAGGGAGGCAGCAGTCGAAATTTGCGTTTGGGGGAGGGGGATAAAAATTTCTTTCGAATGAAGGTACGTGGCTTAGCCATAAACTTCGCAAATTTTTCTGGATTTCCTCCCAAAATTTTTGCGGGCCCATGACCCCGAAATTTCATAAGGCGCATGGCAATACCCCCCAAAAAATTCGCACGCCCATTTTGGACCTTCAAAAATCTTAAAATTTATTTCAATTGTTCGAAGTATATATAAACATATTCACCTGCACATTTTCGTAACTAATCCCCCCCCCCTCGCTTCAGGCCACCGAAAGGCAATGATATACGGACACATCATACAAGTTCGCATCAGATATATAAGAGCAGCAACGATTCCATGAAAAAGTAACAAACTGAACAGTCGGGTTATTCTTTGAAACACAGAAATTTCATTTCAATAGTTTTTAATCTAACAAACTATGCTTGAACATCTTTGGATGTAGTAATCAGTCTCACAAAAACTTCCACAAATCGAGGAATATACATGGAGGAAAAACATGCAGAAACAGAACCAAACACCTATGGATAAGAACAGTGGGCGTTTCGAAGCGATAGATCAGTACAGTGACGAGATTACCACTCATCTGCTTCAGCACCAAATCCAAATCTACTGCTGCTGCTGCTTGCTTCCATGTTAAGGAATTCGGAACATTCGAAACACATTTTACATCACAAGCAAAGAATTACTCGAATTTTGAGATCATGAGAATGCTGGTGTTACCTGGCCGGCCTCTGTCCAAATTTCAGCTAGGCTTTGGGCGAGTGCTCTGTCGTCCGAAGCGTAGTAGAACGAGATGGCCCTTCCGGGACTGCCGACTCTTCCAGTTCTGTGTACGTAAATTCCAATTCGCAAAAAACCCACATACTACGCACACTTCCCGATGCGATGCACACAATCTTCTCCATTATTTGGAAGGTCATAGTTGATCACGTGATCGACACCTTTGATGTCCAGTCCTCGCTCGCCAACGGCTGTCGCAATTAGTACCTGATTGGCAAAGTAAACGAAAGCTAGACGGCAAACAGAAGCACACCTCTTAAAAACTTACGGGTTTGCGTCCATATTTAAAATCATCAATTGCTTCGGCAAGCAAATTCTGTTTTCGATCTCCATGAATCGTGGTTGACGGGATTTCACTTTGACGACAAAACGCCAAGAACATCGGCCCCGATTTTGCAACAGACGAAAACCATTGTTTCCTTTGAAAACGCTCGCATCTAAAAAACTGATTATAGACTTGTTCTTTTACAGCAACTGTACCTTGATCAAGATCAGCTCTAAGTAATTCAAGCAGTTTCTCCCTTTTCTCTTGCAGTGTGGTGACTTCGATGATTTCCTCAAACTCACGATAAGAGCGAAACTTAGCTATTTGTGATTTAGGCCCGTATGCACGTACATCCCCGCTGGGGAGGGGAGGGAATCTGAGAGGGAATGCGTCATATCTCGCTACTCTACGTATCTTTATTCTTCGTTCTGTATCTTGCTTATGAAGGTTCTCATACCTTTATAACATTTGATTCAACTGGCTTGGCATTCGAGAAGGCGGGGCTTTGTGACCTAATTAAGGCTGATAATGATCAGAGAGCACTCGCGCGAGAGAGACGCAGGTGCGTCGCGGGCGCAAGCGGGCTCAATTAGGCCACAAAGCCCCGCCCTGATGATGCCAAGCCAGTTGAATCAAAGGTTACCTGCGCTTAATGGATGCCAGGTTACTGCCATACAAGATTGGTTTTTTTGCCATTTTGTGTGATCCCCAGGGGATCCCTGGGGTCACCTCTCATTTTCAAAATGATTTATCTTTCTGAGAAGTCAATGAAAAACCTGTAAAATTGTACTGAGGATATACTACGGCACTGCTAAGCATGTTTTCGACAGTAGAGATGGAATCTGAATATTGTGATTTTTTCGGATTTCGATGTCCTATTTCACTTATTTCCACTATAGACGTGTTTAGCATTGCCGTAGTATATCCACAGTAGGATTTTACAGCTTTTCATTGAGTATTCAGGGAGATAAATGGCATTGAAATTATGAGGTGATCCCCTGGGATCTCCAGGGGATCACACAAAATAATGAAAATGTAATCAATTATGCAAGTAACCTGGCATCAATTGAGCGCAGGTATTAGGGTATGAGAACCATCATAAGCAAGACAGAGAAGGAAGAAAAACGATACGTAGAGTAGCGAGATATGACGCATACCCTTTCAGATCCCCTCCCCTCCCCAGCGGGGATGTAGTGCATACGGGCCTTACCTGGCGAATGCATGTGTTAGCCACACCGATTTTGCCACAAGTGATCATCAAGAAATCAGACTTCAGCTGTTGACTTGCTACTTTGCATTTCAGGAGGGAATGTCGCACTGTAGAAGAATCGAAAATCAGTGACTGTGATAGAATTGTGAATAAAACATAGGTTCTCGAATAATTTTACAAATCGGAACATAAAAAACTTTTTTTGAAAAGATCCATTTTGTTGAAAAAGCGGAAACAGCAGCTAACCTAAACATTAGAGTGTCTTTCTTCTTTTGCAGTCAGTGATGGATGACTGAAGATAAAATTGATGGAATCTTCAAAACCCATATCAAGCATTCTGCCGGCTTCGTCAAGAAACAAGTATTTGACCTGTAACGATATTTTTTAATAATGGAATAGACCTACAAAGGACTTTTACTTCACGCAGGGAGATGTATCCTTCGTCGATAAAATGATTTAGGCGTCCTACAGTAACAACAATAAGCCTTGCACCCTAAAAGCTAAACATGAGTAACGAGTTTGATTTTACAAAGTCAAAGAATTACCCGGCGGAGCTGCTGTCTTTGTATCATACTGCAGCACCTCAAATGCATGCAACGTTCAAAGCAGGGTTTGCGAATTTTCGTCCTTCATTGTATATCTGTACCGCTAACTCACGCGTTGGAGCGATAATTATGATCACCTATAGCAATCACACAGGGCTCACATAGAACAAAATCTTGAGATTTACCTAGGGCATGTGCGTTCAGCCATTTCACAGAGATTGTTGGTGCGGATGAGTGTTGTCATGAATGGAAGGAGCTGTCTTACCAGATCCCGTTTGTGCACAAGCCATCGAATCCCTATAATGGGAATTATTTTGTACTCGATGTTGAGTTTTATTAGGGTAGATTAATGATGTTACAAAATGATACCTTTGAAAATCGCTGGGATTGCATACTGCTGAATTGTTGTTGGACTTTTATAACCACAGTTCTGGACATTATCAGCTATCTGCTATCTCCTCTGGTAGTTCAATCTCAGCAAACGACCTGAAATCACTCCACCGGTCACAAAGATTGGAGCGTAATCGCACTTACGATATTTTCTTTCCTTTCTCATTTTCCGCCATGAAGGCCCCCCTGCGTCACTTCTGCTTCGAACAATTTCGTGAACAGTTCACCCTGTTCAATGTGTTCTTTGTTCAACAACTCCACATCTTCACCTTTCGGGATAAATGGCTTTCGTTGCTTGTCTAGTCGATCAAGTTGGAGTTTTGGAGGATTGGGGCATTCCGAGAAAGATGGTCGCTCTGACCACAGTCTAAGCAAGATTGATTTGATCTATAAATTGAGATTAATACAAGAATTATGCTTCGAAAGGCACTATGTCTGAGGTAACAGGAAAGAAAGTAAACTGCACTTTTTTTAGAATCTGAAATGGTCTGAAAAAGACGTACTTTTGGCACGGACATTCATTCGAACGATGTCCCTCTTGCATGCAGTTGAAACACTTGCGATCTAAAAATGACAAATATACGGAAGAAGATTGCACCATCTACCCTTCCATAGCTGAGATTGATTTAGACAAATATTTAGCTCTAAATACCTCTTCCGTCGCTATCCCCAGAACCTCCACGACGACAATCCACCTCCGTAGAAACCCCGATCTTTTTCGCCTCCCCCAAATCCAGTAGAACTTCCACCAAAACCACTTGACGTTGCACTGCCAAACCTCGTGTCACCAAAGCCATCATCCCTTTTGTTATTGCCGAAGCCGGTATCGCAGATTGCAGTGGCGGTCCCAGGATTTCGGACCGGGGGGGGGGGGGGGGGGGCGCGGCAAAATTTTTTTTCAAATGTAGGTGCGTGGCGTTAGCCACGCACTCCGAAAAAATTTTTGGGGTACTTTTCGAAATTTTTGCGGGCCCCCAACCCCTAAAATCTAGAAAAAGGGGGCGTGGCGTCAGCCACGCCCCCGAAAAAATTTTTTTTACAAGGCTAACTTGAATTTTTAAAAAATTTAAAAAAATGTTTTAATTATTTACAAAAATAAACAAGTCATTTGCATATTTTTATAACCCATGTAGGTAAGTTTCAAAGATTTCGCGACCCATTCTCGGGGGGGGGGGGACGCGCGCCCCCCCCCCCCCGCCCCCCTCCCCTCGGTCCGCCACTACCAGATTGTCAGAATTTGACCAAGCCATTCAAACAAACTATATACCATCGGATTCGTCTTGGAATGCTGATCCCAAATATAAGTTTATTATTTGTCGAGCGACTATCTGGGAAGTTACGAACGTTTGATTGTCGGATTTGTTGATTCTATGGCGCACTTTCTACGAAAATCATTTCAAAAACACTTGTTTAGGTTGGTAGATGTGCTTTCCTTGTAAGTAGATCACTCATATATCACTGTGATTACACGCCCTCAGCTGCCTTGCAACGAATTAAAACCTTTGGTAGTTGAACGGCTTCTCATATTTAAACGTCCAACTCCTTTCCTATGGTCGTTTGGCGGTTGACACACATACAGGGCTTATCAAATGCAGTGTCGGGGGTGCAGCACCTCCACATTCGCGCTGGACTTTGTGTCTCTTTCGCGAACATGCTCTCTAATCGCTTCCAATCGATTGAGGCCCTTTCCCACACTCGTCCTCTGGAAGTGGTCAGAGAGCATGGCCGCGGAAGAGACGCAGAGTCCTACGCGGGAGTAGAGATGCTGATGCACCCGACATTGCAGTTGATAAGCCCTGTCTGAAATCAGCGTTTCGAGGCAAGACCGATGATGTATAGCCTTGAAAAGGCTGGATTAATCTGAACATTCCCTGCTTTTATTGTTCCGACCAAGAACAAATCACATTAATACAAACATTGCGAGGTCTCGCCTCAGGACAGTCTCTCACTTGATGACCTTCACCAGCAGAGTTGTAATATTTCAGGTCTGGAAAGATGCGTTCAAAATAGATGACAAAGTTAACAACATTGACAGGGACTATAGAATGGTCTTTGATCCACCCAAGAAAAGCCATGATCTCAGATCTCGCTAGAATTTTACTTGAGGAAGTTACTAGACATGACTAAAATTTTTACTCATTCCGCGTAGCGCTTCTTTGGTGAGATACGCAAATATATACGGTAAGGGGTTGAAATTTCAGAATTCGCAGGAAAGTCTGTGAAAGCCTTGTCGAGGTTATATGACTGCACATTACCGCGACCAATGAATATGATATTTGCATTAAACATATTCTGCATTTATGTTGAACAAACTCAGACAAAGATTCGGCGGATTTTGCAATGTAGAGACCATAACAGAAAACGACGGTGTTCCCTAATGGCCGTAAACGAATGGGTATCATTCTTGCACGTAGGCAAATAACCTATCGACGAAAGAATCGAGCCTAGATTTTTAGGTTTGCAAAATCAGGATGCCGGAATGACAACAGCCCTAGAACTTATGATAAGCCCAAAGGTAATTCTGCTGAATGTGATTTAGAAGCCCACCTCGAGATTTTCTGCGCTGGGTGGAATCGCGTGACTGGTGTCCTTCTTCGCCGCAACAGCGCCTAAACAGAACTCCTGACATCAGCTGTGCTAAACACCATGATCTGGCACAACCATCTGCAACACTTACCACCCCCCCCCCCCATTTCCGCCGCGCCAAAGGCAGAGCTAGCGCCAGATCCAAAACCAGAATTTCGAAAGCCGAACTTTTCAAATCCAGAACTTCCAAATCCGTTTTTTAAAAAGCCAGCATTCCCAGATCCAGAGTTACCATCGTCTGCGTCGACACTATCATTTTCTCTGTTGTCAAAATCACTTTCCTAGTAATTAAGAGTTTTCCTGGGCCAGTGATCTTCAGCACGACTGCTGGCACCAAATCCCGAATTTAAGCAGTGGTATCAACGCAGAGTACTAGCCGTTCCACGAGTCAAACCGCCTCGTCTAAAGCCAGTGTAACCTCCGCCGAACCCGCCGGTAGCAAAGCCATCATCGTCCTTGCGGTCAGAACTGGCATCAGGTCCCTCGTCAAAGTCCATCTTCTTTGTTGGCGAATAGTTCAGTCATCTTGAAAAACATAGTTCATGAGAAACATGGGATCGAGCTAAAAAAAGTCCTCATATCCAAATCACTCAAATTTTTTTTTGATGTTGAGAGAGCTACCTTTAGAGCACTTTTTGAAATTATTGTCCTACTCGCAATAAATTTGAAACAAAAAACCTATATCTCGCACCCTACCACGCAAGAGAAGTTTACGAACAATTGATGTAGGTCATATCAGGTAATCAGAAGTGCGAAGAAGTAATTAGAGGCGCGAAAGAGTTTGGAGCCCCTGGCACTTCCGTAAGCAGAGGCGGCGACCCTCTGCTGCCTCCTGCCCGGCCGCCGACAACGGGAGAGAGAGAGAGAGAGAGAGAGGAAGAGAGAAGAAGAAAGAAATAAAAAAAAAGACTGACTGCGCCTACCTATTAGTAGGGGGAAAGCGAGCGGTGGCAGCCGTGAAAAACAGGGCGCGCGCGCAGGGACCACCGCTCGCTTTCCCGCTTTTCCATTATTTTTGAATTTTCGCTTGCTATTTTATATTATTTGATTTACAAGTGCAGACAAGTCATTTGCACAATTTTATAATTCATATAAGTAACCTTCAAAAATTTCGCGACCGTTCTCGGGGGGGGGGGGGGGGCGCGCCCCCCCCCCCCCCCGCCCTCCCCCCTCGGTACGCCACTGATGTATATATATATACATATACATATATATACAGGGTGTCCCAAAAAATGTGAACACTGTTTGATCGTTAATAACTCCGTTGCTTTTATGTCTTTCGCCGAGCTTGAAGCACCATTCTGTAGAGCGAGGTTCAACTTAGATTTGCGGCATGGAGCGAAGCACCGATCGCTCTTCATTACTGTAGGATTACGGTATGAACTTCTGGCATGTGGATCCATCGGGAAATATGCCATTTGACAAAATTTTTTTCAAAAAATCTGAAAAATCGTGTACTAAGGGTTTCGCGCACGCTGATTCCATAACGCACCTTTTTACGAGTGTTTTTAGCTTTTTTGACGGTGTAATCACATTTTGACAAATGCTGGAAATTCGGTTATTAAGGTTTACCTGGGATAACCTTGAAAGAAAGCGTCACAGTGAAGTGGAAATTTCATATTCGAACTCTGCGGCTTCCATTACCCATGTATAAAAGTTTTTGGCCTGTTTGGTTTTGTTCCGAGGCAGAATATGGCTTTCAACGGCTTAAAATCCTTATCAAAGTTCCTGCTGTAATCCTACAGTAATGAAGAGCGATAGACGACTCGCTCCATACTGTAGATCTAAGTTAGGCCTCGCTCTATAGAATGGTGCCTCAAGCTCGGAGGAAGACATAAAAGCAACGGAGTTATTAACGATCAAACAGTGTTCACATTTTTTTGGGACACTCTGTATATATCAGTGGCGTACCGAGGGGGGGCGGGGGGGGGGGGGGGGGGGGGGGGCGCGCGCCCCCCCCCCCCGAGAGCGGGTCGCGAAATTTTTGAAAGTTACTTACATGCGTTATAAAAATGTGCAAATGACTTGTTTATTTTTGTAAACAATTAAAAATAATTTTTAAAATTTTTTAAAAATTCAAAATAGCTTTGTAAAAAAAAATTTTTCGGGGGCGTGGCTGACGCCACGCCCCCTTTTTCCAGATTTTGGGGGCCCGCAAAATTGTTGAGAAGCCCCCCTAAATTTTTTCGGAGTGCGTGGCTAACGCCACGCACCTTCATTTAAAAATTTTTTTTGCCGCGCCCCCCCCCCCCCGAGCCGAAATCCTGGGTACGCCACTGATATACAGGGTGTCCGTAAAAAATGTGCCTACTGTTTGATTGTGAATAACTCTCTTCTAACGAAGTCTTTCGAGAAGCTTTAGGCACCATTTTGTAGGGCGAGGTTCAACTTAGATTTGCAGTATAGAGCGAATCACCGAGCTCTTTTTGTTACTGTAAGATTACGGTAGGATCTTCGACAAGGATTTTAGGTCTTTGGAGGCCATAATCTGCCTCGGAACATAAACAAACAAGCCGGAAATTCTTACACTATGGTAATGGAAACCGCTCTTTTCAAATATGAAATTTCCACTTCACTGTGGTGCCTCTTTCCTAAGTTACCCCAGGTGAACCGTAATAATTGAATTTCCTGCATTTTTCAGAAATGTGATTACACCGTCAAAAAAGCTGAAAACACCCGTAAAAAGTTGTGTAGTGGAATCAGCGTGCGCGAAAATCCTAGTACACGATTTTTCAGATTTTTTGAAAAAAATTTTGTCAGGCGGCATATTTCACGATGGTTCCATATGCTGAAAGTTCCTACCGTAATCCTACAGTAATAAAAAGAGCTCGGTGATTCGCTCTATACTGCAAATCTAAGTTGAACCTCGCTCTACAAAATGGTGCCTAAAGCTTCTCGAAAGACTTCGTTAGAAGAGAGTTATTCACAATCAAACAGTAGGCACATTTTTTACGGACACCCTGTATATATATATATATCTTATATATAAAGCTGAATGTCTGTCTGTCTGTCTGTATGTATGTATGTATGTCTGTACGTATGTGCGGAATAGAAATTTTTATTTCTGAACCGATTTGGACCAAACTTGGCACACATATACTTCGGGGCAGGGAGCGTGTCATAGGCTACTTTTCGTTATCGATCGATATCGACTTTATCGATTTTTTGCAAAATTCGAGCTAGAGGGCTGGGATATGGCAGAGGGGGGTAATCGAGCATGCTGATCACCCCCTTCGGGGTG